GAGGGGGCGGGGGTTCAGATTTAGAATCACAAAAAGCCGCTCTACACCCCCTCATTTTTTTTTTCAAAGCCTGTTCCAATATTGGAAAATTTTCCCCCTATAGAATCTATTGAATAGATACATATGTATGTACATTCACACTATCAAATGCGGTAGAAAGAAAGATGCTTTAGGGTCATTAACTTTATAACTAAATTAAATATGTACCTTTCACGTTCATTTATATTAATTTTTTCAATAAATCCCGTCAGAATATGCAATTTTCTCTGCAAAATAACGGTTAAAGAAACAACACTTTGCACAAAACACAATTAGCAAATTAAATTTTCCGTCTGGCCATTTCCACCAGCAATTTTATCGAATTTCTTTAGTGCCCTTTCGTTGCATCGGCACGGCGAATTTGTGTAGACTTTTATAAATATTGGAGACTTGCGCAAGTTTGCTTTTGCCGTATTGCCGCAGTCAGCTGAGATTTTTTTATTTTAGTTCCTTTGTTGTTCGCCACCAGTGTTGCCACTACTAATATTTTCCGACCAAATTTGGTCGCTTCTTTTTCCGTTTGGTAGGTTGGTAGGCAAAGTAAGATTTTGGGCAGATAGTTGTTGAATTAAGTTTTTAAATTCTTAACTATAAAAATATATATTTCAAACATCATTTTGCATATAAATATTTGTCAAATAAGAAACCTAATTGGTTTGGCCACTGATGGAGCCAATCTTATGGCTGATGACTTGGGCTGAGAACATTATTGAGTGCGTGCAGAAACCGATTTATTTTATGTAAAGTGCAAATGCCACTCACTTCACCTTTGCTCAAGCTACGCTTGTATAAAATTGCCGAAAAGCATTGACACACTGTGCCGCAACATATATAGTTTCGTATCCCACAGTTCAAAGAGGATACATGAACTGAAGGAATTTCAGGACTACTGTCCGGTAAAACCCTACAAAATCTGGGCATATCTCCAACACGATGGCTTTCACTAGAAAGCGTTGTGTTAGGAATAGTTGAGTAATGGGATAGTTTGAAACTTTTTTTTATTTCCTGCTTTTACGAAGTAAATGGTTGCGATCTGCAGACCTGGCCGAAGGAATACGTTGGAAAACCAAGTGCTATTTTTTATTTATATCGTAATTTTGCCCATAATTAACACTCTTAACAAAGAGTTCCAAGCTGAAAGCTCTCGTTTGCCATACTTATATGCATAGTAGCCAACTTGGTGCTTTAAGCACTAGATTTAGTGTTTTTCGAAAATTAAAACGCCAAAGAAAATTATTTAGTGCCTATTGTTGTTGTTGTTGTTGTAGCAGCATACAAATTCCCCAAAAACTTTTTGGGGAGTGTTGCTGGAGTGACAGTCCTTGGCCAGATATAAATCTGGGTCGTTCCGGTTACGTAGACCCGACTGTCGTGGGAACGTGTCTTTTATAGTGCTTTTTTCTGAACCAAAATTACTTCGAGATAGTTAAAACCTGAAATAATTTGAAATATTTAAGGCTGTGGCACCACTGAATTTACAAGAATCTAGAAATTTAAATGGACTGAAATACAACCATGATTGATAAAAAGCTGAAGTAGCAAACCCACCAGGTAAAATTCTATTCGCGTTGAAAATGCTAGTACGCAAGTAAGTTAAGTATTTCNTTTTATAGTGCTTTTTTCTGAACCAAAATTACTTCGAGATAGTTAAAACCTGAAATAATTTGAAATATTTAAGGCTGTGGCACCACTGAATTTACAAGAATCTAGAAATTTAAATGGACTGAAATACAACCATGATTGATAAAAAGCTGAAGTAGCAAACCCACCAGGTAAAATTCTATTCGCGTTGAAAATGCTAGTACGCAAGTAAGTTAAGTATTTCTTTTTTTCTTTTCTGATTATTTGTACAAATTTTGTTTTTTTTTACCACCTGAGTAAAACACCTCGTTTCTTGGTGCTGAATCCAAATCTGGCCTAACAATTGCTCTAGCACTAGAATTTTGAGACATCCTAACCTCATAGGGCCAAAAAGACGGTTTTTAGCGATATTTGAGGTTATATAATGAAAACATCAAATTATTTGCTCATTTCTAATTATGTCATCATTTTCGTTTGATGCGATTCGATTTTTCTTTCTCGAGCTATACCAGTTTTAATGTGCAGTACTTCGGTATTATGTTATGAAAAAAGCATCCCTTGATTCAAAAAAAAATTGGTTACTCAATGTCTGGTTAACACAAATCTCCGGTTAAACATAGTTATCAACGTTACCGACTCCCTGAAGTATGGATGGAGTCGAAGACGTCGATAATGATGTTTGAACGCAGATTAATGTTAACCAGACATTGAGTAACCGGCCCTTAGTGTGGTAAAACGCTATTCTTCCAAGTTTTTGGTGCTTTTTGAAAATCAGAAGATGGCAACACTGCTTATATGCTACTATCAAAGCACATTAGCTTAATTTTTAGTAACTTTATTAAAAAAGATGCGATCAGCAACAAAACCAATATTAATTTTAAAATGAAAGCTGAGATATTTATGAAAAGCTGAATCAATTGTTCTGAAATTCTTGAAGTTAAATAATAAATAAATAATATATTAAAGTTTTACATAGCTTTACTATCAAATAAATTTAAGATTTGATTTCAAGCGTGAAGATATAAAACTTGTATAAATAATAACACCAGCTAAGGTAGTTTCTGAAGAAGATTTACCAATTTTACCTCTTCTTAAAGTTTCCCCATCACATAGATTGCGATCCCAATATAATAATCACGTAGTGGAATTTACTGAGGCTAAGTGAGCTTGATATTTCCAGCGATCTGGATATTGATATGTTTTGGGAAAAAGTTTATTCTATTAAAAATGGAATGAATGAAGATAGCTCCATGAATCTCGCCATGTTTGTTTTTAATATAATTTCATTACCACATAGCTCTTCGGCTGCAGAACAGAAATTTTCAACGCTTTCTTTGATAAAAACTAAACTAAGAAATAAACTTAAGATTGACAGTATCAATAGCATAATGTTATGCAAGGAATTTGTAAACAAAAATGACCCGCCTTATCAAGAATGATAGAATACAAGATTGCGTCCATGAGAGAGGATTTTGAGTGTAAGTAATGTTTGAGTGACGTCATCTTGGTGCAATTTGCGAGGGAAAAATGCCTAAACGCATAGGAAAATATGTAAACAATGCGGAATAATGTGTTAATATCGATATTAAATGGTGCAATTTTGCCGGAATTAATAAATATACAAAGTTTAATTTAATAGGAATATGTAGCAATGATTTTGGGCATACAGCCCTTTAGGTAAGTACGATATCAGCACATACCGGATGTTGGAAAAATGCATAGTATGCATAGTATGTACAGAAAAAAACTTACGTTATACCGCACGCCTTCCTTTTGTCTTCTCTTTTATAATTTTGATTTGCAGTAAAAACTGTGTACTGTAAGAAGTGTACAACACATATATAAAGTACGTATACCAAATTAAAGGGAATCAAATTTCCTATTGAATGAGATCAAATTTTTCAAAATCCATCCATTTGTTTTTAACAGATCTTGATTTCAAAAATAGCTTATTTTGCATTTATGTCGGGAGTTGTAATTCGATGAAACTCATCATACCAATCAAAAAGTGAATTTTGAATTTTTATAAGTTATGACTTTTTGCATTTCGGTGACGATGTTTGTTACGCCTTTTTGCATTTCAGGGGACGATATGTAAATTCAAAACATTAAAGCCGCTTTACTGGATGTTTAATCTTATTTTTTTGTCTTTTTTTGAGTTATGACACTATTGAAGTAAATGAACATACACACAAATTGAAACTGTAGACATAACCCTGTCGGCAAAGTGAGGAGCTCTTCGAAGACCTTCTCTTTGGAAGCTTTATAAGATGTTCCTGTAACGCTGTCATTCGACGACAGACGAGAATGTAGGTTTCCAATGACAGTGAAAGTCAAGTAAGTATCAAGTTTTTCACAATAGGTATATGCAAAAAATTGTATTCTAATATTTTTCCGCCAAATCAACAACAAAAAACATAAAAATATAATTCCTGAACTTTGTGCAAAACTCGCCAAAATTCATCAAATTTTCAACTTTTTAATCAGATTTTTTAGAATTTTTTTTGAGTATGCAGTTTTGCAGCACATTAAATTCTAGTAAAAAATTCCAGTTTGTAAAAAATTAGTAAAAAATCGCATTAATTTTTGGAAATTTTTTTGTTGAAGGTTTTTTGCATTTTTTCCATATGAAGTATTTTCGAAAAAAAATTGTTGTATGGAAGAGACTGCGTGAAAGAAAAATTGCCAAAATCAACGGTAATTCCTAGCTACTTAATGCTTGTACTTTATTATAATAGAATTTATTGGGCTACAAATCTGCATTCTCAAAAAAATTCTGAAAATTCTGATTAAAAAGTTGAAAATTTTCATGAAAATTTGCTGAATTTTCGCAAGTTAGGCACAAAGTTTAGGAATTATATTTTTATGATTTTTGTTGTAGAATGAACCATATATTTATACGAAATTCGGGGAAAAATATTAGAATAAAAATTGTTGCATATATTGTGAAAAATTTGCTGGGCCAATACTTTGTTCTGACAGTGTACATACAATGATACATTCATTGGATTAGACTGAAAGTTGGTAAGCAACTTTCCGCCATAAGCTAGCAATATGTATTTATTATATACTATAGTTGCGTTCCAGGTGATTAACGATTTGCAAGATTTTAACATGAAGTCGTTCCTGGTCGCCACCTTCCCTAAGGTTTATTAATGACGAAAACAGCTTTTCCTGTACATACATCCTGTAAAACCTGCAAATCGTGAAGTACCTGGAACAGGGCTTATGTTGCCACAGTATATATACACATATGACTGTTATTTAAAAGATTATACATAATAGCTACCGTTTTACATAATAATACTATTATAAATACGTAGTACAATTTAAGGTAATGATTCTCATATTATGTATGTACATATGTATACTCAACCCACTTGATTTTGTACGTTGATGAGCAATTGACTGCGTGAATTCAGCAATAGATTCAAGAATAGTACGATTATAAAGTTAAATTTAGCTCCACTCCGCTGACATGGCACTATGGACAATGTTTTGATGCTGCGGTCGCCGCTTATGCCCAGCCACATTTTCTCTTTGTTCAGAAAATAAACGAACGCTGCTGCACTAACACAAGTCGGTAACACAAATTTTTTACTTTTTCGGTAGCCAATGTATTAAGCTACTCACTGTATTAACTATAAATTTATTTAATTATTTTGGAAAGCATTGATTATTCAGCAATCGCATAGTAATTTGTAAAGACATATGTACGTATGGATTATTTTTGACGGAACTACTGTTGTATTTTTCAGTGCATTTTCAAGGAATATGCATCTTTTGTTACACGAATCGCCATTGAACACGAGACTCGTAATTCTGATCGTTCGCACAATTGTATTAACCGAACGATTTTTAGCAACTTGTTTTTGTTAATTGTGAAATGGTTCACCGCAATTAAATTGAAAATCTTTTTCCGCACACTTTTTACAGGCGTATTATACTGTTTTTAAAGTTATTATTTATTTAAACGCTTTGCATAAGATACAAACGACCACGACACTTGTCCAACACACCTTGTCAATCCGCCATGTTTTTAAAGACTGGCCGAAAATAGCGGAACTTGTCAAATCGCCGACAAAAACTCTCCACGAGGCGAATACGTGGCGTTTGAAGGCCACTGTAGGATTGTAATGCTGCCACTGAGTTCAGAGTGATAAAATATAAGGAAGTGTTTGGAAAGCAAAGAACGTAAAACCAAAGAAGCAACGAACGTAAATCAAAGAACGTAAATATATAAGAGACAACTCGCTGAAGGGTGGCGAGTGAGTCTAGAAGGTTTGCAAGAGGAATTCGCGTCCCTTTCGACATCAAGCTTCGTAAATGAATTCGCCGCAAATATGATTTCACGGCGTCAAAGAACACTGAAGAAAGAGAGATCGATGATAGAAATAAATTAATGAAATAACAAAAAGATGGCTGCGACTCTTTTTGTCTATTTTCCGTCGGCATTTAACATGATAATATACGTAGATGTAGTTTTACACAAATGTAAGAGAATTAAATGCATGCGCTATGCAAGAGCTTATATAGATTTACCTTCTTTGGTAACACCACTTTGCTTAAATTCGCCTTGATCTCAACCTTTAAGATACGGTCAAAATCAGAGCGGCACATTTTCAAAGTAACGAGTTGTCCCTTATAAATTTACCGGGGAAACTTTTCATTGTGGCCGTTCGTTAAAGGTGCGGAGGGCGAAGGGGGAGTGGGCGTGGCACCTCCAACCGACCTTTTTGGAGAGGGCATGAACCGCCATTGACTGAACTGCAACCCCCGACCACCTAGACCCCCTATGGTTCCCTACGGACCCCTTAGAAAAATAGAATTCCTTTCTGCGTAGGCGGCCTTCAGCCGCGCTTAGGGATTATAACCCTTACTACATAGAATTCCCCTTTCTGTGTGACCTAACTGGGGCTACCGCCCCAGTGATGTAACCTTGGGAAAGCCAACACAATTTACCTTCTTTAGACTCACTCGACAAACCTCAGCGAGTTGTCCCTTTTTATAGATTTTCGTTCTTTGAATTTACGTTCTTTGCGGTCGGTTGCTACAGACCTCTAAATGAAAAAATATAATTTAAAACGAATGCAACCCTGCGCTTTTTTAGAATGAATACGTGGTATTGCCATTTTGACAGCTCACAGCTGTGCAAAATATGTGAAAGACTTGTTTTGTGGAAAAATAATAATAATTGGAGTGTAGTTATTGTATTAAAATAGAAATATCTATTATTTTAATTAGCATACGTATTTTATTTTCATCACAAAATGTTGACGCTACGCGATAGACAAATAAGTAAGTCAACTGGTATACCAGCGCCCAAATTCCAAACCATTTACAACAGCAACGGGCGGGGTGTCTGCGCTGGTGTTTATGATCGTGAAAAGCAAAAAACCGTCCACGCAGCCAATAGAAAAGTTAAACCTAATTATTTGTCTTTCCAGATGCCATCAAGCAGATGCTAAACTTAAATCTTCAGCAGCCGAAAGCCCTAGCTGCGGAGCCAGTTTGGAAAATACTAATATTCGATCGGGTGGGACAGGATATCATTTCTCCGATAATTTCCATTAAAGAACTACGCGAGCTGGGTGTAACTTTGCATGTGTGAGTACAAATGCAAAGTAATTTGCTCTCTACAACTATATCCATTTGCCATAGATCACCATAAACTTTATTGCAGGCAACTACATTCTGACCGTGATTCCATACCAGATGTGCCTGCCATTTATTTCTGCTTGCCCACCGATGAGAATCTGGATCGTATTCAACAGGATTTCGGCAATGGTTTATACGACGTTTATTATCTGAACTTCTTAGCGCCCATCACACGTCAGAAGATTGAAGACTTAGCTGCGGCAGCACTACAATCTGGTTGCGTTGCTAATATACATCGTGTATACGATCAATACGTAAATTTCATTAGCTTAGAAGACGATTTTTTTATATTGAAACATCAAAAAAGTGAGCAGCTGTCGTATTATTCCATAAACCGTGCAAATACGCGTGATGACGAAATGGAAGCGCTGATGGATTCTATAGTAGATTCGCTTTTTGCGGTATTTGTTACATTAGGGAATGTGCCAATCATACGCTGTCCGCGCAATAGCGCTGCAGAGATGGTGGCACGCAAATTGGAAAAGAAATTGCGTGAGAATTTATGGGACTCGCGGGCCAATCTTTTCCACATGGATGCCACCCAAGCAGGCGGGGTATTTAGTTTCCAACGTCCTGTCCTTTTACTTTTGGACAGAAACTTAGATTTAGCAACACCATTACATCACACATGGTCATATCAAGCATTGGTACATGATGTGCTTGAATTGGGCCTGAATTTGGTTTACGTAGAGGACGATGGAGCAACGAATACAGGTAGGTAGTGTAATTTTGAACTGGCCGTCATAAAAATGATTGATTCCATTTCACCAGGAACACGAAAAAAACCAAAAGCTTGTGATCTTGATCGCAATGACCGTTTTTGGGTTACACACAAAGGGAGCCCATTCCCTACGGTGGCCGAAGCTATACAAGAGGAATTGGAATCATATCGCAATTCAGAGGAAGAGATCAAGCGTCTCAAAACATCCATGGGTATTGACGGCGAGACCGAAGTAGCTTTTTCCATGGTGAATGATACCACTGCGCGACTCACTAACGCGGTCAATTCGTTGCCACAATTGATGGAAAAGAAACGACTCATCGATATGCATACAAAAATCGCTACATCAATACTGAATTATATAAAAGCTCGACGCTTAGATTCATTTTTTGAATTGGAAGAGAAAATTATGTCAAAGCAATCACTCGATCGACCGCTTTTGGAATTGTTGAAAGACGCAGAATTTGGACTGCCTGAAGATAAAATTCGTCTATACATTATTTACTATATTTGTGCACAAAATGTACCCGAATATGAATTTGAGCGCATGAAGGAAGCACTGCAAGAAGCTGGGTGTGATCTCTCGCCACTTCCATATGTGCAGCGTTGGAAGGGTATTATGAATCGATCGCCTGCAATGAATCCGGCTGCACAATATGAGGGCGGTGGTACGCGTACAGTATCTATGTTTTCGAAATTGGTGTCACAGGGCTCGTCGTTTGTGATGGAGGGTGTTAAAAATTTGGTCGTCAAGAGGCATGTAAGTTTGAAAAGACGATTAAAATGTATTAACAGGTATTAGCTGGCTAGGTATATACAGATTTAAGATTTTCAGTAGCCTCTCTTGACATACAGAGCTTACTTTAACCTAAACCACTGACGTTGTAGATACCGCGTATGTGAAAACATTGAAGCATTATAATAACTTAGCTACATACTTCGTTTCTTCCATTTCAGAGTCTTCCGGTTACCAAAATTACCGAACAGGTAATGGAATGTCGCAACAATACCGAAACCGATGATTATCTTTACTTAGATCCGAAACTTTTGAAGGGTGGTGATGTATTACCCAAAAATCGTGCACCATTCCAGGATGCTGTCGTGTTCATAGTGGGCGGCGGCAATTATATTGAATATCAAAATTTAGTGGACTACATTAAACAAAAGCAAACGGCAAATGTTAATAAACGCATTATTTATGGTTCATCGACGCTGAGCAACGCGAAACTCTTTCTCAAGGAGCTGTCAGCATTGGGGCGTGAGATTCAAGCGCCCGTTCTGAGTTAGGAACGGCAAAGCAAATATGACAAAGTTTATGGCAAAATGAAATGCTGTTGAACAGTGGCAAAAAAGCGAAAAGAGTGGAGTGGTAGCTTTGTTTTAACTTTAAATGAGTTGTATTTATATTGTATTTATGTAAATTAAAGCTAGTTTTGCATTAAAGGACATACATATGTGTTTGGTGGTGCAGTACTGGCTTTAGTTATTCATTATGTAGCTGCTTTGTTTTTTTGTTTTTTTTTTGTGCAACTAGCAGTTACATACACCAGCGATCGAAAATGAGTGCATGGTGATTTCTGTTAGATATTTAGACTGTTTTCAGGTAATTATTTTTTTTTGATAAAAATATCGCTCAATCTTTAACCAAAGCCACATTATACAAAATTTAGAAAAATGCAAGAAATTCTAGTAAAACAACTGCAAGTTTTAAAGCGACTTGACAAGTGCAATTTATAAAAACTAGCGTTGATTTTTTATTTTATTTTATTTTTGCAAACGGTCTTGCGCATTTTATTCTAGAAAAAATTCACATTTATACGGAAAAAAGTGCAAAAAGCGGTGCGGAGAGAAAAAAAATAAAACTTGCACTTGTTTTCTAAAATTTCATTAGCCACGTAACTGCATAAACATTTTTTTAGAAGTTACGATTAAAAGGTTCAAAGTTTGGACGAACATTTATTATATTTTTCTAAACTCTGTATAAAGTTAGACTTATGTGGTTTTGGTTAAAGAATAAACCATATTTTTGTAAAAAAAATAAAGTAAAAAATTAACTTGAAAAACATTGCAAATAATTAACAAAAATCACCATGCACTCACCTTTGTTCGCCAGTGTATATACCTAAATACGCATTTTTTTTCATACCTACACCTAATTGTGGAGCGGACAATAGTGTCTATAAGTTAATGCATATATTTTAAGCATTAAATTTAATAGTAATTATTTTACAACTCACGCCTTATGATATGAATATGTAGCTCGATAAAATAAAATACATTGTTTAATATCCAATAGTATAAGGGAAGTAAAAATAAATGAAAAAAAAAAACAAAAAAAAAAATTAATTTCCTTATATAATGATGGAAAAGCTACCTTTAGTTTGGTAAAAGGAAAGTAAAAGTGATACAACAAATTGTAGGTACATACGTGTATATTGTATATTGTATTGTAGGTAAATATTTACCTGTATATTGATGAGGGGAATACTGGCGCCCATACTATGATCAAATGCATGTCTAATGAGTTGAGGATCGAGCTTTCTACCATTTCGAAAATGCTTCCCTACCCTTACTGCATGAAGCAGTGAAGGAAAGGATCAAATTATTGTTATCTCAGCGACTTGACAGAACCGCCAATGTGGTACTCT